ACTGCAGTAATGTTGAAAGAGTAATCCTCCTACAAGCAATTTACACAATCATCTACCTAGTGACATGTACTGCAGTAATGTTGAAAGAGTAATCCTCCTACAAGCAATTTACACAATCATCGACCTAGTGACATGTACTGCAGTAATGTTGAAAGAGTAATCCTCCTACAAGCAATTTACACAATCATCGACCTAGCGACATGTACTGCAGTAATGTTGAAAGAGTAATCATGAGACAAACTGCACGGTAAGCTAAACCACATGTGGCCAAGTCCTATCTTACACAAATCTGACTTCTGGGCACCCAGAATTTCAATTGTCCACAAAACACATGAAATCCAGTCACAAGATGGAAGGCTGTAACTGAACCTGTACATATGAACTGCATGTGCTCAAATAAGATTGTGTAAATCACAAGATTACAAGTGAAAAAGAAAACAAGCAGAACGATCAAGGTTAATAGAAAAACTGAGCTTTGAGAACATGTGCTATAAATATGGTAAATGAATCCCTCATCTGGAAAATGATACCTTGAACATATCCCAGAAACTTCAATATAAAGCTGCCAGTGCTGGCCAATCAAACCTCATCATCTGTCAAACACATGCTGCATTATTTAAGATATGCAAAATGCAAAAGAAATGAAAGAAGATTCGATTCTTTCACCTGACAGCTAATCTGTCATTGCATTTGTCGTGTGAAATAATTGGGTGTTCTTTAATTTCTATGAGCCGTGATATTGCTGTAATATTGCCGTGATATTGCTGTAATATTGCCGTGCTATTGCTGTAATATTGCTAAAGCGGCGTAAAACTATACTCACACACTAATTTCTATGAATCCTTCATGACAGATAACTATAATCATATGACTGACTGACTGACTGACTGACTGAGTTTAGTTTATGCCGCTTCTTGCAATATTCCAGCAATATCACGGCGGGGGACACCAGAAATGGGCTTAACACATTATGCCCATGTGGGGAATTGAACCTGGGTCTTCGGCGTGACGAGCCAACGCTTTAACCACTAGGCTACACCACCGCCCCTATATTCATATGAAAGAATCCGGTCTTTCTTAACTTCTTTCAAGTAGTATTTAAAGTAAGTAACTAAACTTTAAAACATCACAACCTTGAGGGAAGACGCAGGAAGATCCCCAGCCTACCTGCTGCTACCTAATCATGTTCAGATTCAACTTTATAGGAAACATGAGCCAGTAGACCTCAGGCTTAGACTTTAAAGACTCTAGTACAACAAAGTCATGATAATACTAATGACTTGTATGACATTAACACTATCTGGGTTGCCTCCTAGCGGTCTCACAAACCAACATCTCACTACCCAGACCAACACCACCCTGTGTAACGAGATAAAGGTAATAATACCTGTCATTAACATAAGGTGAAACGTTATTGCCGTGAATACCCCACTACTGATATCCATTATTACTTACGTTATTCATTTACGAGTGAAATATACATAGAGATGTCGACATCGTGCTAAATGTGAAGAAACTGTTGGGGATAGGAGTGAATTACTGCTATACTGCAAAAGCCTTGAACCTCTTCATCTACAGAAATGTTTCCATACTTTGTTACTACAGTGTTGTCTCAGACAACTTCTACCACTGTTCAACAAAAAGGGGCCACCGAGGGGTGGCAAATTGGACCATGTCGGGGATCAAAGCCCTGTGTTTTGGTCTTGATGGTCTACTAGACTCACTTACCGACCTTCTTATTAAAGAGAAATCTCTCTTGATGAGATGTTGACAGGTCTTGTACTAGCCCAGAAATAATGACCTTTCAGAGGTTAACATTTTCAAATGCCTGGTAATGTTTCTCACATCCGAGTTTTCAAACCATCACCAGCAAATGGTTTGAACCAGTATCTCTAGCAACCATTCCATGAGCACCAACTGGTCAATTCATAAGAGAATTCAGCAGAAACAAGCAGATTGGAAGACAAAGGAAGACACACTCGGGATTCCCTTGACCGTCATCCCTCTCCAGATATCCCCACACCAAAGTGACCCCCCTCAAGGCATCCTCCCTCCCGCACTAGCCCCAACAGATATCGCTACTACTAAAGTCCACTCCTCCTGGACAATATTAGTTTTACCTGCATTTCATGACAAATTTCGTAGGAAATATGTACTGACCCTGAAAAGGCTTAAAAAAGTAATACTGACGCTTTAGACCACCGGAAAAAACATGCATTGTGGCAAAATTCATTTAAAATTTAAAATTTTTTTTTATACAGGCTAAATTTGAACAAAAAGAGATATGACATGGACCATCCCAAGCTTGCCTACAGGCTGTTCCAGGAATTATCCGATAACACTTGTATTGGGAAACAGTTGCCTCGCATATCATCCACACAAACCATTCAAGCCTGTCATTTCCAGAAAAAAGCTGCCAAAGGTGAAAAAGCTTTATGAACAGAATGATGTTTGTGTCATTTCTAGTCTAACTTCAAAGATCCGAGTAAGAACCAAGATGAGGAAATAATTCTCTTGAATCCTCAAACTGATCCAAACTGGAAACACCCGTTTCATAATTACAATATAAAAGAAACACATGACAGAGATTTACTTTTGTCAAAAATTATAAAACTTGCTCTGCTTTAAGTTAAACTTGAGGCCAGTAATTGCATCAATGTGTGGCAGGGTCCAGACCTCCCCTTCATAACGTTTCATAATTAATTACACCATGCTCCTATCTATCATCAGCAGCAGCAAGACTTAAGGTCTCAGTGTTGATTAAACATCAGAATGTGTGTTTTCTCTGTTCCCCTGGCAACAATATGTCCTTGATGACATCATCATAATTATTACCCCATACTGACTTATCTAATTAACTTCTATTCCTAAAAGGTTAACAGTTGTAATGACTTTAAAGCATGTCTGAAATAAATTCTAACTTGGCCTCATAAACAGTTCCATGATTTCTTCCAAGTATTATCTATATATAAAATATAAATGTATTCAGTCTGTCATGCATACACTGATAAGCATGAAGTTTGCAATTGTAGGTAAGTCTTTCAGTTTGAAAGAGAAGAGTCTATCTGCTACTTTATATTACACCTTATTAAGATAATTTTTAAAACAACTGAGTTTTCACTGTAAAATATCTTCATTTCAGAGACATAATGTATGTTGAATGAAACTTTCAAATTTAAGGAATCTTGGATTCAGCTTGTCTGTATCCATGGTTTCAAAATAACATTTATAACCAAGCCTCTAAACCTTTCTACTCATACAGAAATATTCCGTTCGGATCAATATTTTTTCAAAAATCACTGACATGAAAACTAACTGCTAAGCTATGTTCTTAAAACATCAATATTTCAGTGAAGCCTTTGATGAAATCAACATACATATATCTCAGAGTGATTGCAATGTATTAGGGAGATATTTCATGATGACGAAAATAATCAAAGCAAGGTGCAAGCAATTTCAATCAAAGGGAAAAATGCAAGGAAAATTTGAGCAAGATGACTACAAGATTACATCAGTGGAATTTTGCAATAATGATGGTATTCATCCCTTCGACATTAACAGACTACAAGTGTGTAATCAAAATCATCCATAAATAACCCAGATAAATTTGGCATGGAGCGAAGGAGTGCTTTGAAAGATGGGTTTAAAATCCTATTACTGGGCCACATTTATCTCCCGGTTTGAGCTTTATGGTTTGACCCCCATATTCAGAAATCTGACATTTTTCAGAAATTGATGCAAACTCACTGCTCTTGATAAATGGATGTCGTTTTTTTCATAGCCTGTATGATTAAGAGGTGAAATGAATTCTGTCACCTACTTGTGGATTTCATGACTGGCAAAATGAACATTCTCATGATCACTTCCTGATTGCGACAGGTCCTGTCAGTACCACCGACATTTGTTATAGATGCTATTGTCAACATAGGCAGATCAGTTATCCCATCGGTCTATGGTTTCTTATCATGGCTATAGTCTTATTCGGTGCTTACAGTGCTAGGACAGAAGGTTAAAACCCTGTCCCAACGTCCTAGCATAACTGTCCAGGATCAGATAATGATTTGCTAGGCACTCAATAGGGATTTTAAAAGCTTTCGTAATAGACAGTTTTTAAGATGGAAAGGGCAGTCAGTGAGATTGCATGGTTTGCAGTATTACTTGGAAAAACTTAAAGGTACATGTCCAAACTTACAGAATAAACCATTTTCAAATTTTAATGCACCAAAATAAACCTACAGTGGGCACTGGTAGCCCAGTAGTCTCAGTGATTTGACCATGATGTGCTGGTTGGGAGTTCATTTCCCAGGCCAGCCCTGATCATAGTAATAAGCAGTCATAGCAATACATATTGGTATCGTCGTAGACACATACTGAACTGACAAATAAACAGTTCAAACTTCCTGTTTAGAAATGGGCTTCAGTACCTCATGCCCAATAAAGGCAACAAGAAGACAAACTCATCAATATCCCCCTCAATGGCAAAATACTCTTCATGGTTATGTCTACGAGTTATGATTATGTCAAATATTTAGGTGTGTATATAGAAAAGTGGAAGGAGAGTATTGAAAGGTTTTTAAAGTTCTGCTCCAGAAAGGAGCACTATCACCAATTTCAGTCTATGTCAAATTTGTTGCCATGGAAATGCCAAAAATAATTTATTCAGAAATCCAAAACTACCAAAAGGCACCAGTACACCACCAGATCTATGTATGTGTCAAGTTCGGTGAAGAAACATTGAACGGTTTTAGAGTTCTGCTCCGGAAAAGTGCACTACCACTAATTTCTGTTTTAGTCAAACTTGATCAATGACCATGGTGTTGTGTGGTTCTCTCACTTGGGTGATGCATGCCATCGTATCCCAATTGCGTGGATCAATGACCATGGTGTTTGTCACCAGATTGTCTGGTCCAGATTGTCTGCACAAATACAGCAAGAACATTGCTGAGAGTTATGTTAAACAACAAACAAAGAAAGAAAGAATTTGGAATGGCAAGACTTACCTGCGAAGTATACGGTACACGCCAGTAAGGCCACACACATGATGAGAAGGATGAGGGCGGTGCACTTCCATGTGCATCTCTGTTTCAGCTGTTTCTTCATTCTATGACTCGCGCTACTGAACTTGGAATAGTAACCGTAGTCTTGTGAAGGGGGGTACGTCCCCATTGGAATGCTGGCCACACCAAACTGAGGAAAAGTGAAGGCTTGCCTGCAATAAGAAGGTTGTAGTGAGTGACATTGATGATAACAACCACATGATAACTGGGTACTGGATCGGTCACATGACTGGCCATTGAGCTTCCTGAACACATCTTATTAGAGGAGCCATATTTTCACAAAGTCTTCTCAATGTTTAACAGTGTTCTAGTTGGGGAAGCGGACATACAGTGAAACCAGATGGATCCCTACAATGCAACAGATGGATCCCTGCAGTAAAACCAAAGGGATGCCTACTTTGAAATAAGAAGTTATCCCTTCAGTGAAACAAAATGGATCCCTACTGGGAACAGATGACTCCCCACGGGATCCCCTGATGATAACAATTACTATTGTATCTGTTATTAGAGTTTTAACTCACAAAAGCCCAACCAGCAAAGACGTCCAAGAAATGTCATGACCTTGAGAAGTGCAGCAAGGTGACAACAAAAACCCTTCAAAAACCTTCAGGAAAATCTACTAAAGCCAAAATATGAACGTCAGCAAAAGTGACACGTTTGATAAATTGTGGAAATATCATTCAGAAATATTGGACAGCCATTTCAAAATTATGGATTTTTTTAGAAGATTTGTCTCTAAAATATGACCAAGGTGGATTGGAAGACACATATTTAAAATATCGATTTAAGCAGAAAGGTGCACTGTGATGTCTTACTCCAACAACAATGACTCCTGAGAGTCTGAAAGCTGGACATAAACATCCAACAGATGAGACAACAGATCCATACTCTGTCCGCCCCGAGCCAATGATACCATTCTCTCTGTAGGAATTTTAAACAACATGCGTCGCCTGTGATTTTATATTATTACGTTCTAATGGGTTTTATCCGTTTATTGAGTTACGTAAGTTTTATGATAATTTTACAGCAACTTCAAAGAGCCTCTTTCAGAATGAACGCATCAAGGGAGGCTGGACAAGGGTCATCTGCTTCAAAGTGATCTGGATGATTTGCCATCTTAAGTCTTGTCAAGAGCCAAATCGTAGGCAGATGAGGAGCTGCAAGACCTGGGAGAGCTGTCCGCTTTAGTCTCATTGATTTCCATATCATCAGAACTCACTACATCTCTGATCACTCAAACAATATGTTTTCTTATTTCAATGTTGTCTAAACTGAAATCGATTATTTTTCATTTTCAATATAAAAGCCATTGCCAACTCCTGCCAGTCCTGGAACAGATGTACACAATTGACCTGGGATGTGGTGCAAAGCTCAGATTGTTCAAGTTCTCTCGTAATATGATTGCTAACTTGTTGAAATCACCAAGCGGATATAAATATATAACAAAATCATGCACCAGGGAATTGGAAAATACTGATATGCAGCATAGCATAGAGAGATCTATCAAACTGATAATTCTTTCACCACTTTACGGCAGTATTGGATATTCAAAGAGTTTGTGTAGAAAAATTATCATAGACAATTGTTATTCTGTTAGTTCTTTCAGCAGTGATGGGCATCGAATGGGTCAAGCACAACACATGTCTATTTGGGGAGGATGTCAAGCATGGCATCATTAACCTGACAAGTACAGACCTAGCACTATCGGTTATAGTTGGTTGGTTGGTTGTTTAATGCCAAACTCAGCAATATTCTAGCTATATGGCGCGGTCTGTAAATAATCAAGTCTGGACCAGACAATCCAGTGATCAGCCTCACAAGCATCAATCCACACAACTGGGATACGATGACATGTGTCAACCAAGTCAGCAAGCCTGACTACCCAATCCCGATAGTCGCTTCTTACGACAAAGATGGGTTACTGAAGATCAATTCTAACCCAGATTCTTCATGGGTATCATGTGGCCGAAGACTGACTGACTGAGTTTGGTTTTACGCCACTTTTAGCAATATTCCAGCAACATCACGGCGGGGGAGAACAGAAATGGGCTTCACTGTGTCCGAAGAACACAAATGTAGTGAGTGAGTGAGTGAGTGAGTCTTACTCACTGCCCAACATACCACACCAGAAAAGTGCTTCCTGCACTTATCACAGCAGTAGATGTACCCATGTGGAGAATCAAACCCAGACACTGGTGTGACAAGCAATCACTTTAACAAGTGGGCTAATCTAATACACCTTAGACAAGCAGAATCCAGTCTGAACAATAGATTAGTAGATAATATGTGATTGAAAAGTTAGCCTGCTATCAATTGTGTTGTAAAAACAATATTGTTATGTTGATTGCTACTTCAGCCAACATACTCATTTCCATTGAGCTGACAGATCTATTACTTCTCATCCAAGCTGACCAAAATGAAGACTGACCCTTTGCACCGTCTATCTTACAGAAGGAATTGAACAGCCTAACTGGTGTTACAAAGACCATGCAATAAAATCTCTAGGAGTCATGGTTATCGTTCAATCTTTGGAATTGGCAATGTTTTTTGGGCTCCGTCTCATAAGAACCAAGAAGGAAATGCAGCTAATGTGATTACACAGAGTACGAGGGAGAGTATCATCTAATAGTGACATCAATACTGAGAAAATAAGACATTTAAACCATGTGACATGCCAAGGCAACATCGTAACTTTTTCAAAAATTAATTCCGAAACTAAGTTAGATTCCTGAATTGTGAAGAAAAAGGATGCGCTGGCAAATAACAAAAGCTGACACAGCCACATCCAAAAAGATTTTATGTCCGATTTTGAACCGTATCAACTGAATTTCAATCGGGAGTGTCGTAATACACGTCCGCTTCTTCACGTCCCTGACCCATGTTATGTGTGATTAAACACTCGTGCTCTGCTCATCCCCCCAAAACAATAGCCCTCAAGTTGGGGCTGTCTGTAATTATCTCGTATCATTCCCAAACCTCATTGCAATTTGGAACAATTATTTGTTTTATGATGAAATAAACACACGCTCATTGCGACCCCCCAGTGGTACATCAGCAAAACAATGGCCGTGCCTGCTTGTGTTTTAAAGACAATGGACAGAAAGCACTTAGTGTCATGTTGGGCCTCAATTTACAGAATACAAGACATTTATTACAGAGATAGCCTTAAATGTAACAATTATCATAAATACAGAATAAACTGCTATTGTCTCAAATGGGAACAAACAAAGTCCCTGCCCCAGCGTCTTGATACTATTACACTGTTATGGTAGGAAGTTGTAGACGGAAATGGAAAAATTGTGGGTCGACTATTAACCTGACAAACTATTGCTGCCTACGTCTGAGGAAATTGCCAATGAAACCAATTCCAATGCAAAAACCGAAAGTTAAGTATGACCCCTAGAAAAACATAGCTAAAAATATCGGTCAATTCTCTTTCTCAATTTTGTAGTGATGCTGTTCAGCAAACACACAAAATATTTGGACACTTGCTACTCAGTTCTCTCCCCCTGATAACAGTTGTGATATATCGGCAATTCATCATTACATACTTTGATACTGTTAAAGTGGATTAAAAATGGTCAGATATACCGATAACTGTATTAACGCCTCCATCTCAGTTAATTATATTCCAGTAGTAAATTCTAAAATGTATATATCCTGCAAGGATGAACTTTGTTATAATTATTGGCCCACCAAAATGGCCACCATTGTCAATGTCACTGTTGAAATGCACCAAGAAGCCATCTGATTGGCTTTTCAGTTTACTGAGAACTCTGGCCACCACAGTCTTGGAATGCTCCATGAAGCCATTTGATTGGCTTTTCAATTGATAGAGAACTCTGGAAAAAGTTCATGGGATTTCGGATGATATGGTGAGAGTATGATTAGAGTAAACTCCCTCTGACACTGTGAGCAGTAAATATTGGCAAACACTTTGAAATTTGAAAAAAATGACTTGTCCATAAGAAAATTAAGTTATCAATTGGTCTGAAATCAAATTTGAAAAAATCCCAGAAAATTGCTTGTCCAAAGTTCCTGCTTGAAAAACAATATTGGGTATTTTCACAAATACAGTAATCATTTCACAAAACAAACAGGTAAACAAAACTGGGAATCGTATCCTTCATATTCCATGATGGATGACTTTTCGGACTTGATCAGTGAACTAGAGTTGTATACAGAGCCTGACAAAGACAAACGCCAGTCACTGACTTCCGGCAAAGTTTATCAATCCGTCCAACTTGAGTAAATATTTCCTAACCTGTGTACAACATAGATTTACAGAGTGGCAATGGCACCTTGAAATATTAAAATGTCTCGGAGTGTCGATATGGGAGCCATGTTGTTTGATGGATGACTACAGACCTAACTCTACAAGTAGATCAACATTCGCAAGTGATTAAATTCCACAGTGCCTGTCGTTGTGCATGCAGTAATTACACCTATGTCCGACATCAAACTAAAAGTAATCGCCAATTTCGAGATTAATCTTCCCGCGTGATTTCCAAGTTATGGTAGTCAAACAGAGGTAACCAGAACTCTGGGCCAGCTTATTGATTTAATATCCGTGCACTCAAACTATTTACATTTGGGATGTGATCTTCTTGCTTGGGTGTGTTTGATTTCCGAGACTTTCCAAGTTGAGCAAACACCAATCACTTGGTCCGACTTTGGCCAGTCCCAGAGAGCCCCGCGACTGTCACCGGTCTTCTTGGCATCAATATTCCCAGCCATACACACTTTCCTCTCCGGGTTCCTGTCTCCCGATGTTGCATCAAATTCCATTAAATCACCAATCCACACCTCCTCCACCACTCTCACAAGGATAAACTTTGTCTCAAGATGGCCAAATCCTTGCAAATATTATATTTCTTCTCTTCTTCAAACAGTCATGACCAATGTTCAGTAGGGCAGACACACAGACAGACAGCCATCCAATATCAATGTGCAAATTCCGTCACTCTAATATTCTACAGATGGTAAACACACCATCAACTCAACAGTTCTCAAAATCATCCAACTCCCCCCTAAAAGTCAATTGTTCAAAAATATGCAAATGTCAAAAACCCTCCAGTTTTATAGAAAATGGAAAAAACCTGCATGAAAATGTTCATTTAAGATCGAAAGTCAATCTAATTCCAA